AAAAAAAAACATAAAAAAACTCATCACCTAGGATCATATTTTAGAACATCGTGGATCTGTTGAGCTCTACATGTCTCAAAACTTTTTTTCTAAAATAATTGGAGAGATCATGAAATAGCAATAGTGTTAAATGAAGTTCCCTACCTACCACAATTATTGCGAAAATGATGCAATGGAAAAATTGAAAATTTAGATTTTAGCTTATGTCTAGTCGTACCAAACAAATGTAAGATCAACATAATCACCAACACTATCTAATCTAAGCTAAACCGTACAATCTTGCCTCTCAAAATTAAATTAATCTAATCTAGTATAGGAAAGCAAAACATGCACTGAGGAGACAAATAACCACAAAATGACTAAATAAATAAATAAATAATCAGAAAAAAATAGCTATAAACTAAAACAAACTAGCTATGAACTGAAGCCCTCCCCAAATATTCATTTACGCCACTATCTGATCCAACAAATCATCAATATAGGACAAACTAGGAGAATACTACCAAGCAGAGCCGGTCCTAAACATTTTGGGGCCCTGGGCAAAATACAAAAAATTTTGCCCCAAGTACTTTGTTTATTCTAAAAATAAAATAATACCTTTTAAAAAAAACAAGAATAGAATTTTTTTTTCGAGCATTTTTAAATTCAAATCATCAGTTATATCTTCATAATATAATTTTTCAATAATATCCTTTCCGATGCATAGAATAGCTAACTATAAAGCACAACTCACAGACTTCTCAAATCCAATATAAAGCACAACCATTCGACAATACTCACAGACTTCTCAAATCCAAAATAGAAATAATTAAATAAATTTATAAGCCCCAATTTTTAAAATTCAAGTTTGTAGCTATGCTAAATTCAAGTTTCCAGCTATGATAATTTACAAATAAGCTACATTAAATTCAATTTCAATTCTAAAAGGAAAAATACAAAAACAAGTCAAAGGTAAAATTCGAAAATGATTCATTGGCCCAATTTTTTCAATTCGGTAACAACATAAACTATTAGAATAGGTTATTATTTCTCAACATAAACAAAAGGTTCAAGAAAATTTCTAAATTTTTTTGAACAATTTTGCTAATGATTGAACAATTAATTTAGAGAAAAAAAAAAA